TGTCTCAAAAAAAAAAAAAGAAAACATATCATTAAATTTTTTTTAAATTTCAGGTTAATGTGATGGTCCAAACAACCAGGTCACAATATTGGAATTTGTTAGGTAGAGTCCCTCGTGCAGTTGTGTCCTGCACCCAAAAGGTGTACCATACCACCCTTCATTGTGCCCATTAAATGGGAGCACCAAACCTCCCCCTCTTCCCCTCTCTCTTTAACTTGAATTGAAATGAATTTTTCTCCTCCATGGGTGTGAATTAGATCATCTACTGGCTTCATATTAGTATTGAGTACAATGAATATTTACTTTTCCATTCTTGTGATACATTACTAAGAAGAATGTGTTTGAATTCCATCCAAGTTAATATAAATGATGTAAAGTCACAGTTTTTTATGGCAGAATAGTATTCCATAGTACACATACACCACAGTTTGTTAATCTATTCCTAAATTGATGGGCATTTAGATTGTTTCCACATCCTGGCAATTGTAGGTTGAGCCACAATAAACAATCTGGTGCAATTGTCTTTTAAAGTAATTTTTTTCTTCTGGGTACATGCCTAGTAGTGGTATTTCAGGATCCAGTGGGAGGTCTAGTATGAGTATGTTGAGGGTTTTCCATACTTAGCTATCATTAAATTTATATCAACAAAATAAGAGGTATAGGGAGAGAATGAGAGAATAAAACATTTGATGAGATGTTAAATCATAAATAAAATAAGTGATTATATTAAATGAAATGATCACATTATTTTATTAGAAGCTAGAAAGAACCAAAGAGAAGAATACAAGTTAAGATAGTTGCTCAAGCCTGTAATCCTGTAACTCTGGGAGGCTGAGGTAGGCAGATTGCTCAGGAGTTTGAGACCAGCCTGAGCAAGAGTAAGACTCCATCTCTACTAAAAATAGAAAAACTAGCTGGGTTCTGTGGTGGGTGCCTATAGGAGGAAGTTGTGAGGAGGATGCAATAGCACTCTGTTACGCAGGCTAACAGAATAGCATCTGAGGAGGTTGTGAGCTAGGATGCAATAGCACTCTACCCAGGGTAACAGAATGTGATTCTGTTTTTAAAAAAAAAAAAAAAAATCAAGAAAGTTACATAAAGTGGTAAACATGAAGTCCTGATTTTGACATAAACTAGGAATGATGGCTTCTGAAGTTAAAGCAGCATTAAAAATTAATGAGGATGGGGAGGTGTCAAGAAAAAGAATGATAAGCTTTCATTTGGCATAGTAAATTGGTGTCAACTTACTTTTATGATGTTTGGATTTGATAACTTAGAGTGGGTGAATTTATCAAGAAAAGATTCCTTGGGTGAAAAAAGATGATGTACTTACTAAGTAAATTCAGGCATTTAGTTTCTTTGGGGTTAGGAACATAGCTCTGCTTACTATTATTATATTTTTTATTTTTATTATTATTGAAGAAAAGTATTAGTGATTATACTAAGCAATACTCTGTCCCTCCAATGAGTCACACCAAATACATTTGTTAATATATTTCAAATAAAAAATATGACTCCCCAGCTCCAAAAAAAAAAAAAAAAAAGATTTCAAAAAGGGACCTCTTAACATATTAGTTGAAAAGTAAAGGGAAGCAGTAGTCTGACAGATGTTTGCAGAAAAGTTTATTTAGATGGGTAGTTTGAGACAAGCCTGAGCAAAATTGAGACCCTGTCTCTACTAAAAATAGAAAAACTGAGGCAAGAGGATTGCTTGAGCCCAAGAGGCAAGAGGTTGCTGTGAGCTATGACACCATGGCACTCTACCCAGGGCCACGGCTTGAGCCTCTCTCTCAAAAAAAATTTTTTTTAACCAATTAAAGTCAGTAAAATTAAATTGAATTATGGATTTTTTAAGACAATAATGCCTAAACTCATTACAAATGTATATTTTCTCATAAGTAAGAAATCTCAACTTTAAAAGGTGGCAAAAAGCAAGTGCATTTTCAATAATCTATATCTGAACTATTAGCAACACTTACCATTTTATTGAATTGTTTGTATCAAAGATTCCCTTTAAACTTTAATTGGAATCCTTGCATGTAGAAGGAATATTACATTTTAGATGGTACAGGAACTGAATGTAGTCAATATTTTATTTAATTTCTGGATAAGACTTGATAGAATTGTACTTTTACTTTATTATATATATTTTTAATTGTATCGTATTGTACTATACTGTATTTATTTATTTTTTTAAGACAGAGTCTCACTCTTGCCCACGCTTGGGCCATGGCATCAGCTTAGCTTATAGCAATCTCAAACTCTTGGGTTCAAGTGATCCTCATGACTCAGACTCCAGAGTAGCTGGGACTATAGACATCCACCACAATGCCCAGCTAACAATTACATTTTTAAACAAAAAAGAGAATTATGTGTTTATATTAAGAGAATAATATAAATTAACAAATAAGCCAAAGTAAAATGGGATGGATTGACAAAGAGAATATAAATTGTTATAAATATTAGCTTGATAACATTTACTAAAGAAAAAGGAAAAATGAACAGTGGAAAAAATAAAATGAAAATGCAGATTCTCTTATCACTTAGATTTTTGAAATCTAAGCGGAAATGTTAAAGAAGAAAGTGAGATTGAATATTTTATCAGTTTAATACATATCAAGACAAAAGATACTATTGTGAAGTCAAGCATTGGATATGGTTGAATTAGGGAGAAAATGAGAGAACTGCTGAGAAAGGAAAAAAATTAAGGTAGAGAACAGGAACAAAAAATATTAAAAGAGATTTGATAAGAATAAATGTAAAAACATAGTAACTCTGAAGTCTGAAGACACAAGTTAAAAATAAAATACAAGGAAATAATATTAAAGTATTAGAACTTAGGGCCACGTGAAATCTATGGTTCTCTTACCTTCATTAACATTCCTGAAAATCTAACAACACATAAGAAACACAAATCCTAGGAGGCTTATCTAGTCTATGTGCTATAGTGTGCTAGGCAAACCCACTGCCAGTGTGGGAACAACTCCATGGCAAAATCGGACCCATCCTAGAGTTCTGAAGGAAGTGGCAAGAAAATAACCATATAAAAAAAATTAAACACCCCAATTACTTCCAAGTTCTTTAAAGGGTTCTGGTTTAACATAAGTCCCCCTAAAATCTCTATTATTTCAATACTAAAATATATACATTTTAAAGAAGGCAGCATCTTTTATCAGTACTGACATGATTACCGCAATTTCAATTTTACTTTATTTTTTTGAGACAGAGTCTCACTTTCTTGCCCCCAATAGAGTGCCATGGCATAATAGTTCACAGCAACTTCAAACCTGTGAGTTCAAGCAATCCATCGGTCTCGGCCTCCCAGAGTGCTAGGATTATAGGAGTGAACCACTGCATCCTCCCTGCAATTTCCATTTTACTGAGAAGTTAATTTGAAGTACAGTGAGATTAGTACCTTCCCACTATCCTTTAAATCTTCACATTGTATTAGGTACCTTTTGTATTCGTCTTTCTAAATTTATTTTCTCAGAAGAAAGAAATATTTAATTGTAAGGACTTCTTTTCATGCAAAATGGAAAACATGTAACCTAAGTGAGCAATTTAAATAAATAAGCTTTCTCCAATTCCCTATGCCCCTTCCCCAAACACTACATTTAAAAAGAACTGACTTGGGAAAATCCTCTTCCTTAACCACAAATTTATTGTTAT